CCTGCAACTCTCAGTTGCGTGACTGCAGCTCCAGAATGATTCATGCATCTAAACAGCTTGTATGTTTACAAACTGACTGATTTGGTTTGGAAGTGAGAGCTGGCGCCAGGTATCTTGATCCAGCGCCGTTTAAAGGTTTGTTTTTGCTTGTGGATATGCAAATCCCCGAACCGTTCAGGACATCCATGTAAATGTAATCACAATTTGATGAAAGGCATTTGCATTGTTTGAACACCACAAACAGTGTTAGAGCTGGCGGCCATCAAGGCCTCTGCAGGCTTGGGAGTGAGCAGTCTGACAGGCTCGTCACGAGGACATCAGCGCCAAATGATTCAGTCAACGACAAGTCTGATTCTTTTTCTAACTGTCACTTTCCTCTACGATGTATTTGCTGTCCAAACAAGATGGTTTTTGTTTCTGTCTCTCAGCAAAACTGCTCATGAGTATTTGGAGGTTAATGAAACTTCCAGAAAATACCCAGTGGATGAACGGTTACAACTTGTGGAGTTAAACCAGTTCAAGATGGCTGACACAGCTAATCTACCAATGCAAACATAAAACGGCTACAACTCAGAAATAGGCCTGTCACAATAAACAATAAATCAATTAATCACATGATGAATGAAAATTATCGACCTCTTTCATTTATCAGCTTTATCGTTTCTTCATGTCTCTTTCTACTGAAGACACTGGATGATAAAAAGCTCAACTCCATTGTTCTTCACTGACCCCTCCCTTTATCTTTTCTCTGTAAAATCTGTTTTAATAATCCAAAATTGCATTTTTGGATCGTTAAAAGCAGCTAAGCTACGAGCTAAGCTAACAGGAAGACCTTGGGGAAAAAAACCTCCGTCTTGTCAAAGCTCCAAAATTCACAGTTGAAACCTTCATGTAAAAAGTTGTTTTTCTCTGCAAAAAGAAGCTGAGAACTTGTTTACTGATTTTTTATTAAAAGCTTTGTGTGAAAAATGCTATGCTAAAGAGCTCAAACCAAACTGAGCGTCCACCATTTTGAGAACTGAAAAATAGTAATGACACAGCCCATGTCACATCAAGGGGCCTCTCTCCCATTTTTCTTAAAGAGACACGCTGCTTGCTTCCTCACTATCCATCCTTCAGTTCAAACAGTCTTATACTGCCATCCAGTGGTCAAAAAGGTACTCCACTCAAAAAGTAACAAATATTTTCTTCTTAAATTTGACAATAATTACTAATTATTGTCAAATTTCAAACAATATTATCGTTTATCGCTATAATTTCTGAGACAATCGCCCAGCAAAATTTGTAATTGTGACAGGCCTACTCAGAGGCTTGCACATGTCGATGTGGCAGTAGCTGGGACTGATTCCCAACATGTACTCAGGGCAGTAACTCTCCCGCGCTAGGGGAGTAGTGGCACAGAGGTTAGAGAAGGTGGACATGTGGTCGGAAAGTCGCCGGTTCGACTCCCCGGACCGACAACACCAAAATGTGGGTGGAAATGGCGAAACACCCACACCTGCCTCCACCCTCATTTGCTGCACTCTGGGCCCTTAACCCCCACCATCTGCTCCAAAAACAGGGAGCAAGTGCAAGTTCTTAAGTCAAAACAGTTAATAACTATTTGGAGCAAATTTGTACGTTAGCAAAATATCTCATGAACCACTGGACAAACCACAGGACACTGAACATGACCATCATCCACAACACAAACCTTAACATTCTTTCTCATTAAGTTACAGTTTTGTCTAAAACTTTGGGATAAACTGTCTGTGACAACCATATCTGTCTGTTAGCAAAATACCTTTTGAAGATGTGAATGAAATCACAAAGTAAACTTTGGATATTCATCTACAACTGAATAAGTCTGGGAGTCACCCCAGTCCAAGACGACTGCTTCTGCTCATGGACATCAGCAAACACTGGAGATAACATAATCAAGTCCATTTTACAAATATTGAGCTCAAACTGACATTAAAAGATCTGACGTGACCGTTAGCGTAGTGTGCCATTAGCTTAGAGGGCAAACATGTGCATCAAGGTCACAACTCATACTAATCTGACCGTTTTCTCTCACTGGTACCCCACATTTATCAAAGAACAAAGGAAACCAATAAGCTTTGTTGGGACAAGTTACAAGATGGCTCCTCGATATGGAAAAAGTCCGCTGCTTGACTTTCAAGGGGGGCTTACATCCCACTCATAACTGCTTGCAGTTCTAGTCATTATTATTACAAACATGCTCTTTTTCATGATTGTCCTTCCTTTAAACTAGTACCGCAGGGACCATAGTTCGGATCCCTTCATGTTCAACAACAATGAGTTTGAATGTCGAAAAAAAAGGGTGTAAAATTATACTTGATGTTCGTTTGAAGGGATGAAGCCGAGGCAGAGTTTACCTGTTCTTCCTTAAAGCTAAAGGCCGGCACAGTGGAGAGAAGGAAATGTTCACAGTGGTTAGTTTGGTTAAAACAGACATCTGTCAGTTAAAATCAGATCACAGTAACAGAAACACCACCTGCCACAGTTTACAGAAGCTGTAATACAGCTGTTACACATGAAAGACTAACAAAACCCAACAAACAGAACTTTTCCCCACATTACTTAAAAATAATCTGACATCTCTTACACAAGTCCTCGTCTTTGGCCCTCTTTAATTTTATTACATCCTTGCTGGCATCAGTGCAGTCCTACTCACAGTAATTTAAGAGGCCTAGACGAGTCTAAGCTGTTTGACATGATGTAGGGAGCCATCGTTTCAAGAAATATGCAAGAGGAAATTAAATTTTGAATAATTCCTGGATGTTAAATCAAAAACGGTTTCCTGTTGCCGCTCATTATGACTCACTTAGAGTGAGCGGCGCCAAACATGAAGCTGCTGAGCGGCAGAGAAAAGGACGTTCATGTTTGCCTCATCAACACGTAAACATTTTTCTCCCACGAAAGCATCAACGCAGATTAAAGAAGATTCAGTCAGATTTATCGATTGCTGCTTGTGTGACTCATTTCTGATGGTTTAAACAGAAAACTAATTATAAAAGTAGACAGTGCAGCTGTGTAAACACACGGAGTAAAGTGTGTGGATGTGTGCATTTAAAGATGGAGAGGGAAGAGAAACACGGACGTCAGAATCAGTGACTGACTTTTTAAGTGTGTCTAACTGGACACTCAGCTCAGTGTGTGTACATTATCTAACTGCACACATAAACACTATACAGATCCGGACCTCCCACAGCACATGGAGGGCTTTGGATGTCCCCTTAAACCGTTTGTTCATTTAGGCTTCCAGCTCAACACAGAGGAGAACGTTCAGATAAGAGTTTGTCTGATTAGTGTTTTCTAAAGGTAGATTCTGGTGCTGATACAGTAGTCCTACGTTTATTGCAGGGGATCCGTACCCTGAAGACTCAAGATAAGTGAAAAACCATGAAGTAGGAATATTATCGTACTTTCGGCCGTATAAGTCGCATCAGTCCAAAAATGTTTTCATTTAAAAAATAAAATTAATTCATACTCATCTGTTCACAAAGACTCATGTTCGTGCTGCTGTTCGGCATATTTATTTTGTTCTACTAGTGCTTAGTGTGTTTTTAAGTTAATGTTTTTCTTAGTTCATATCTTAGATCTTATTACTGTTTTTCTTTTACATTTTATGCTTTTGTTGAATGTAACTGGGACCCTGTGTACATAATTTTGTTCCACCACATGTACCACATGTGGTGCGAATGATAAATTAAGAACCCTGAATTGTTGAATGTCTAATAAAGTAGAAAAAAAAAAACATAAATACGTCGCTTCGCTGTATAAGTCACATCTATTATGCTTCACCGCTGACCACCAGGAAATGTGGGCCAGTGTTGTGGCAAAAATCGATTGGCTAACAAATGGTGGCTGCGGGAACGTGCACGGGAGGACTTTAATAAGAATTTTACAAGATTAACACTTAGAATCAATTATTTGTTTGCTCAAAATTGTAAATGTTGTATTGTAATTGTAAAGGTGTGTCTCAGTTTAACTTTTCCTTAATAAATGCACTTTGATGGTCAAATCAGCTGCAGAAGGGAGCTTCTCCTGCAGCTGTGGGCTGCACAAAGGTGCAACAGTGTAACACAAAATTAAATGAAGTGAAAACAAATGCATTTTGTTTATTTTTATACCTTTTTTTCTTCCCAGCTTAGCTGTTTTTTTTGGTACCACTTTACTATAAGCATATAATATTGTAAGCATATTTACAATATAATATAATAATATAATATATTATATTGTTCTGTTATATTTGGTTGTTCATATAATATTTACAATAAGCATATAATATTGTACTTTATCACTGCATTATAAGTATCTACAACTAATATTATATCCTAAAGAATTAGGTTTACAAATGCTTATTGTGCTTACAAGGTAGTGACTTAGTCTGAAATGTTTAATATAACAACTCTAGATGAAATATATAGATGAACACATTTGTTTCACTATTTGGAAAGAAACTGGTCAGTTTTCTCTCGGTCACCCTTAATTAATGCATAATAAGCAGTTATTAATGATATATAAAGTGCTTATAGAGGAATTAATAATTATCTATAAACTATTAGCCATCTATAAGGGGAGCCTTACTGTAAAGTGGTACCTGTTTTTAATTAACTATATTTTATGCACGTTATTAATTTATCCAATCTGCCTGTTTATTTGCCTGTTTTGTAGCATTACCATTGTTTTATTGTTGGCATTAGCTTGATTTAACACGTGCCTGTTTTAGTGTAAGATGTCCTCGAGAGTGCTGAAGGGTGCCCATAAATAAAATGTTTTATTAAAATAAAAATAAAAAGAGCTAATTTTGTTGTGTGTTTTAGAGAATCCTGATTGTCTCTAAAACGATTAAAGCAGAAAGGATCCAGCCGAGGCCAAGTGAAAGACCATGTGATGAATTAATGACTAAAGGAGGCGCTGGTCTGACTGGAGCTCTCAGAGAGAACAGGGAGGGCTGACTTTGATTCATTCTGAGCATTCTAGCTAATGCTAGGCTAGCTGGAGAGCAGTCTGGTTACCTGCTCATGGATGATGTCTGAAAGCTCCTTCACCATGTCTTTAAAGTTGGACTTCAGGCCCTCGTGGTACTCGAACTGATCCTCTTTAATCAGTCGCTCGTTGATGTCCAGAGCCATGCTGCACACCTCGACGAAACGCCTGCATGTGTTGAAACAAAACAAATGGAGAAGGTTTGAGTTGACTCTGGAGCCCACATCAGACCATTCACTGTGTTTCTGAGAAACTGGTTCACCTGAAAACATCCTTGAGCTCTTTGGTTTTCTTGTTGCCCCACGGGGTGGGTTTGCTGTCATCCAGGAATGCTCGGGCGTACGCCATGGGACCTGCGTTCACCTGCGACAAAAACATGCCAGACAGAGGTTGTTGTGTTGTTTTTACACGGTGATAATACTCAACACAGATAATATTCAGTTCATTCTGCTTCACTTCATTTATTTATTTATTTTGCTTGTCTGAGGAAGCGCAGAGTAACCGATCTTGGTGAGTGGAGGGAGTAGTTTAATCCAACACCAGGTGCAGTGGAGGAGCCAGGGGGTGGCCAGTGGTGGCCTTGACCACCATAAATTAATCTTTGGACACCCCAGTCATTTGATGAAACTATTTTTTAACAATACAAAAACTAGAAAGCTAAGGTAAGTAAGGTTTCCTCAAACGATGGGGTGGCCGGTTTACATAAGAATGGTGGTGGCCATCTTGGATTTTGACGTTGCAACCCAATTTTCATTAGTGACCTTTCTTAAGCCTAGATGCAGCAACACACCAAAATGGAAGTAGGTTGCTTTTTCCAAGTTATCAAGCTCAAAAGGTGGGCAAAGAGCTATGGTGGCAGCCATCTTGGATTTTGACGTGGCAACCCATTTTTTGAAATGGACCTTTTTTAGATGCAGCCACACACCATGATGGAAGATGGTAGCTCAACTGTTTTTCATCATGCATACGTCTGTGCATGGTGGTTCTTGAAGCACTGACTCCAGCTACAGTCCACTCTTTGTGAATCTCCCCCACATTTCGTAATGGGTTTTGTTTCACCATCCTCTCCAGGGTGCAGTTATCCTTATTGCTTGTACACTTTTTTTTTCTACCACATCTTTTCCTTCCCTTCACCTCTCTATTAATGTGCTTGGACACAGAGCTCTGTGAACAGCCAGCCTCTTTAGCAATGACCTTTTGTGTCTTGCCCTCCTTGTGCAAGGTGTTTTTTGGACAACTGTCAAGTCAGCAGTCTTCTCCATGATTGTGTAGTCTACAGAACTAGACTGAGACCATTTAAAGGCCTTTGCAGGTGTTTTGAGTTAATTAGCGGATTAGAGTGTGGCACCAGGTGTCTTCAATATTGAACCTTTTCACAATATTCTAATTTTCTGAGATACTGAATTTGGGGTTTTCATTAGTTGTCAGTTATAATCATCAACATTAAAATAAATAAACATTTGAAATATATCAGTCTGTGTGTAATTAATGAATATAATATACAAGTTTCACTTTTTAAATGGAATTACTGAAATAAAACAACTTTTTCATGATATTCTAATTTTATGACCAGCACCTGTGTTTGTTCGTTTTGTACCTGCACAGAGACGCAGCCCTGCAGTTTGAGCTGCAGCTGGATCATGTCTACTTCCTGGCTGGAGCACAGCTTGGTGAGCTCTGCCGTCCGAGCCTTCATCTCGTCAATGGCCACATCCACGGGCTTCAGCTCCACGTGCTTCTCTGCCACCACCTCGATGCGCTTCTTCACATACGGGAACGTGTTGGCAGCTGAGGGCGAGAGATTTTTCTGAAAACCACCATGTCTCAGATGTTTCCTCCCACAGACCAAAAACATGCATGTTAGGCTGATAGGTAACTCTAAAGTGTCTCTAGGTGAGAGAGAGAGAGAGTCAACGGTTGTTTGTCTCGTTTGTCTCTATGTGTCCCTGTGGTGGACTGGAGACCTGTCCAAGGTGTCCCCCGCCTCTCACACAGTGACTGTTGCACATGGACACCAGTGACCCAGAAAAGAAGAAGTAGGTAAACATAATGAATGGATGGATGGATATCAGTGATGCGTTCTTTAATGATCAGATACAAAAATGTTTTGGAGGATTTTTTGTGTTTCTGACACTATTACATGATTAAACACTCCCCGGGTCAAATTGACCCACAAACATTATTGCTTGCTTTACCTCAGAAACGAACACAACAGGAGGGTTAAACAAACAGGAACAAAAAGTGTTTGTTGTCAGTCAGCGTGCACGAGAACAGAAACTACACCCGTTAAGTAAACAGCTAGCTGCTGCAGGAAGCAGCTGGTAATGGGATTCTTAAACAAAGTGCTGATGCTTTGTAGGAAAAAGATTCCCGTTTTGCTCCATTAAATGGATCTGATGTCTGTTTTCAAACATAAAGCTCATGATTAATTAATGTGCTGCTCAGATAACTCATGTCAGGCTCACAGTGCTTGTGTACTTTGGCACCGTGTCACAGATCAAGGCAATAAAAAAGTGGCACCAGCTGCTGTCAAACATCCTGGCCCGGCGTCTCACGTACTGATGAGGACAGTCCTCCTTTTGCACTGCTCCTCCACGCCACCGTGCTTCTTCCCCGACAGCGTGTACGGTGTCTCAAACACAAAGCGGTTGATGTTGTGGCACTTCTCAAAGTCCGTCTTCTTCTCCGGCGCCTCCTTCTCCTCGAAGTACGGCTTGACAAATGTCACCTGAACGTAGGCGAAGCGGGAGTCCAGCTCTTTGGGGTTCACCTGGATCACAACAGGTCAAATGTAAGTTCAGTTACAGTCTGGTAGATCAAGTCAGAGTCCACTTATCTCCTATCCTCTATTTGCCACACCTTATTTGAGTCCTGAATGATCCGGACGTTTTCTGGGCCAAACTTTTCTCCGTAGAGCGTCAGCAGCCGCTGGGAGATTTCTGACAGGCCGGTGAGTTTGGGCTCTTTGTAAATGTACTCCTTCCCATCTTCTTCCTCAAAGAAAACCTGACAAATACAGATGGTCACCAAAGGACCCGTCAGTTTAACTGGGCTCTGAGAAAATATTTTTCCTTCAGTTTGCTTTGATTGAAAATAATAATGATTAAGGTGGATCTGTAAATATAACCCAACACTTTTATTTAAATCACATCATTGTAGAAACTGAGGACAATGGATTTCTATTTTTAAAGCTTTATGTATCAAACAGATTTGACATAATTAATGTAAAAACTGAATAAAACGCATTCATTGTAAAATGTTGCAAACTAAAAACAAACCAAAAAAAATCTACCGGTAAGTGTTTTTCTATAACAAGAAGCTTTGAAAAACCTCAAAAAGCACTGCAGTGAAAAAAAAAAAACTGAACGTTTCGTAACTAAATCATCCAACTTTTATTAAAATCAAAACATATTTATTGTCTCTCTGAAAAAACAACTTAGGATGGCAAAACTAGATCTGAATGAACCACTAAACTAATGTCCAGCTGTCAGCACAGTGGTGGAGCACTGATGGTCTGGGCCTCTTGCAGTCACTGAATTGAGCATGAACTCCTCTGTAGAGGGTTGTAGAGTCAAATGTGAGTCCATCTGTCTGACAGCTGAAGCTGGAACCAAACTGGGTCACACAGCAGCTAATCTACAACAGAACGGCTCAGAAAGAAAAGAATCGAGATCCTGCAACAGTCCTACCAAAGTCCAGAACCTCAGCCTGACTGCACTGCTGTGGTGGGACCTTCAGAGAGCTGAGTAGAAATGAATATCTGCAGCAATATTGTAAAGAAGAGTGGGACAATTTTCCTCCACAACCATGAGGATGACTGTTGAAGTCCAACAGAAAATGACTGACCTGAACTTACTGCTGCTCCACAATCTGCTACGTCATTATGTGTTTTTTGTTTTTCCACACGCTGCTTCAGCGTTCGTCTTTATTCATTCAACCTTCATTTATACAGGTTAATCCCACTGAGCCTCGGGGACTCATTTACAAGAGAGACCTGCTAATAATCTTACAATAGCTGTTAGCATAATATAGACACAGAGTCCAGAGTTGACCACCTGGACCTGGTTGGACATATTCAAAGAACATTTTATACCAGTACTAACAGATATTTAGTTATATAATAATAATAATAATAATAATAATAATAATAATAAAGAAAGATTTAAGGCATTTAACAATAAGTATTATTTAAGTGCCTACTATGGATTCATCATTACACCTGTATATTTGTCCCCACGTGCCCTTCAGCTGTCCTGCCTGTGTTCATGAAGCAAAGCTGCAGCGGGTGCTGCACCACAGCCTCACCTGACCATAAAAAGCCACTCTGAAGTACGTGCCGAGCAGCCTGCGGCCTGACTGGATCACCTCCATGATTTTGTTGTAGGCTCTGTGCAGCGTGTCGTAGAGTCGGCTGAGCTTCTGCAGAAAACAAACAAAAACAAAGAACACCATCAGTGCATGTCTGCTACAGCCTTTACAAGTGTGTGTGTGTGTTGGTGTTGCTAGGAAGTTAGTTATGAACCATTGCAGCAATGATGCAAATATTTCAGTGGCTCACTGGGTCCCACTGTCATGTGCAAACAGTAGTTGGCCCGTTGCACACCAACAAAGCACACTGAACCCCCCCGAGTCAAGGACTGAGGGCTGTTTCAGGACATGCAGGATGATCTGGCTCTTCCTCGGACACTTTCAGAACATCCAGGCTGGAAAGCCAAAGTGACTAAACATGTCATGGTGTTCCCACAGTGAGCTCAGCCCAGCAGCTTGTAGCTGATGAACCTCCAGATGACCAACATGTCCAGATGATCTGGTTGCCCAGCATCTGGTACCTGGTTACATCCTGAAACCATGATGAGACTTTTTGGGTTTGTTTTTTTTTAATGTGTGAACACATTATGGAGGCATAGCCCTGGTTTCAGCAATGACACCACATTAGTAAAACAAGAGTCCTGAAAACCACAGCGTGGTTGCTCCCTCACTCTACAACGTCCCCTCTGCTGAGCAGGAAGTTTGATTGGGGTAGGTTTGAAGAACTGATCCAGGTCTTTACCCAGAATGAGCTGGTCCCAGATGATATCCTGCTTATCCACCACCTGACCACCAAGGTGAAAAGATGATAATGTTTTAGCTCATGTCTGTGCATGTTTGTTTATTAGCAAAATATCTCATACAGTAGCTAAAAGTCATTCCCAACGCAGAGTGCCAAACAACTGCAAAAGCTGTTTTTGTCCCCGTCGCAGAGCGAAGAGGGTGAAATGGAAATGCCCTCCACCTGTCCAGCAGTCTGTGCATGTTGTGAGCATGATAACTTGAAACATAAGTGAGGTACTGACTTCCATTTTGGTCTGTGCCTGCATCTAGGAGCAAAAAAGGTCACCATTAAAAAATTGGGTTGCCAAGTCAAAATCCAAGATGGCCACCAGCCAGCCCATCAGATGAGGAAACTATGCTAGGTGTTATACCATATTTTCCGCCGTAAACGTTGCTCCTCCCTATAAGTCACATAAGTCCAAAAATGTCTAATAAAGTGGAAAAATCCATAAATATGTCACTTCGCTGTTTATGTCGTAACAGAGGCCAGCCGAGTCTGGGTGGATGGATCGGACGGCATCTGCAGCCAGTTTCTTAGGATCCACTGTGGGACGGACCTTTACAAGAGATCCTTCCTGTCTACAGCATCAGTATCTATAACATCTCTTAATGAAATGAGGATAACGAGTTACAACAACAAATAATTTCCCTTTGGGATTAATAAAGTATATTTGAATTGAATTGAATTGAATTGAATTGAATCTATTATGCGTCACCGCTGACAACCCGAAAATGTGGGCCGGTGTTGTGCCAAAAATCGATTGGCTGCCAACTGGCAGCCATGGGAGCGTGAACAGGAGGACTTTAACAAGAATTCAACAAGATTAACACTGAAAAACAATTATTTGTTTGCTCGAAATTATTGTAAAGTTGTGTCTCAGTTTAACTTTTGCTTAATAAATACACTTTGACTACAATCAGCTGTATTTCAAAAGCTGATTCCTGGAAACATGAGTGTGCAGAGGGCAACTCGGTCCATTTCTTCAAAATTTAACAAGATAACCACCTAAAAACTATTATTTGTTAGCTTGACTTTATAGCAAAGGTGTGTCTCAGTTGAACATTTACTTAATAAATGCATTTTGATGGTCAAATCAGCTTAATTTCACAGGGGCGACACAGTGAAATGAAGCTAATTCAGTTGCTTGTCGATGACAAGCTGAATGTGTCAATAGCCACTTTTACATATTACATGATACAATGGCATGCCATACTACTCTGCTGCTATCTAGCAGCTGAAAAATGGCAGTGTTCAATATTTTCAGTCAGAATGAATAAAAACGGTCATATCTCAGCCAAAAATTGGTTAATAAATATGGAAAAAATCCATAAATAAGTCGCTTCAACGTGTAAGTTGCAGTGCATGTAAATTATGGAAGAAAAAAAAGTGACTTATACAGCGAAAAATACGGTACTGCTTAAAAGTAGTTTCCTCAAACGAGTGGGTTAAAAACAAGGAACATGACGACTTCGACTTAATGTCAGAGTCAGAGTTTCTTTATTGTCATTCGCACCTCATGTGGTACATGTGGTGGAGCGAAATTATGTACACGGGGTCCCAGTTACATCCAACAATAAAATGTATAAGAAAAACAGTAATAACATCTAAGATATGAACTAAGAAAAACATCAACTAAATATACGCTAAGCACTCATAACGTAAAACATTGAACATCAGCACAAACATGAACATGAGTCTGTGAGCAGATGTGCACGCATGAACAAATCAACATTGAAACAGATCAGCAGCAACATGAACAGATCAGCAGCAACATGATATGGTTTTTCACAGTGATTATTCTAGTTAGAGATTCATGAGTCTAACAGCCTCAGGGTAGAAGCTGTTCCTCAGTCTAGTGGTTCTACACTTAATGCTCCTTAACCTCCTTCCAGAGGGGAGTGGGGCAAAAAGTGTGTGTGCTGGGTGGGTGGGGTCCTTCATGATGCAAGTGGCCCTCTTCCTGCATCTGGAGGTGTAGATGTCTGTGATGGTGGGGAGACTGATTCCAACAGATTTCTGTGCAGCCTTCACCACTCTCTGCAAAGTTTTTCTTTCTGCAGCTGTGCAGCCTCCATACCACACGTTGATGCTCGAGCACAGGATGCTCTCCACTGCACACCTGTAGAAGGAGGTGAGGACTGAGCTTCCCAGACCAGCTCGCCTCAGCCGTCTGAGGAAGTAGAGTCTCTGATGAGCTTTCTTGATCAGGCTGGTGGTGTTGTTGCTCCAGCTGAGTTTGTCATTCATGTGTACACCCAAGTACTTGTAGCTGGAGACCACTTCCACCGCAGATCCTCTTATGTTCAGGGGGGTGTAGGTGTTTTTGTTCCTTCTGAAGTCCACAATCATCTCCTTTGTCTTCTTCACATTGATGTGAAGGTTATTCTCTCTGCACCAGCTCTCCAGGTGTTCCACCTCTTGCCTGTAGCTGGACTCATCATTGTTTGTGATGCATCCCACCACCGCTGTATCATCTGCAAACTTTAAAATGTGACAGCCTGGATGGGTAGCTGCACAATCATATGTGAGCAGAGTAAACAGAAGGGGGCTCAACACACATCCCTGAGGAGAGCCAGTGCTGAGGGTTATGGTGGAGGAGGAGAGGTTGTGGATCCTCACTAACTGTGGTCTGTTTGTTAAAAAGTCTAGTACCCAGTTGCAGATGGAGGGGCTTAGTCCTAGTGTGGATAGTTTGTCCATCAGGGTTTGGGGGATCATGGTGTTGAAGGCGGATGTGAAGTCCACAAAGAGCATACGGACGTAAGAGTTTTTCTGCTCCAGGTGGTTGAGCGCAGTGTGGACCACAGAGGAGATGGCATCCTCTGTTGATCGGTTCTCACGGTATGCATACTGATGAGGGTCCTCGTTGATGTTGATGGTTGTTTTGATGCGAGTCATGACCAGTTTTTCAAAGCATTTAGCGACTATCGGGGTGAGGGCCACTGGCCGATAGTCATTCAGACCAGTCACTGTAGAGCTTTTTGGGACTGGGATGATGGTGGCAGTCTTCAGGCAGGTGGGAACTGTCTCCAGGGTAAGTGAGGTGTTAAAGATGTCTGCCAGCACCTCACAGAGCTGATCAGCACATTCCTTCAACACTTTTCCGGGGATGTTGTCTGGGCCAGTTGCTTTGTGCGGATTAATCCTCCTGAAGGTACTCCTTACTTCTGCTGAGGTCACGCTGAGATGCTCTTCATCCGGTGGCGAGGTGAGTCTGGTGCTGGGTGGTCTGTTCGGGTCTTCAAAGCGTGCATAGAACTTGTTGAGGGCATCAGGCAGAGATGGGTCTTTGGGGCATTGTTCACTCCTTCCTTTATAATCTGTTATGCACTTAATGCCCCTCCACATGCTCCGAGGGTCTTGTGAGATGAATTGACCCTCGATCCTCTTTGCATATAAGGCCTTGGCCTTCTTAATACCAGCAACCAGCTCTTTTCTTGTCCTACTCAGCTCCTCTGAGTTTCCAGACCTGAAGGCAGTGTTCCTGGCTTCCAGCAGGGTACGCACCTCTGCATTCAGCCAAGGTTTTCTGTTTGGGTAGCTTTTAACATTTCTGATAGTGGAGACTGTGTCAGTACATGTACTAATGTAACCCAGGACTGAGGATGTGTATTGGTCAAGATCAAGCGAACCTCCATTTTCAGCAGCTTCTCTGAAAACTTGCCAGTCTGTTCGATCAAAACAATCTCTCAGTATGGGGCCACTGTCCTGGATCCAACATTTAACTTTCTTTTGTACCGGTCTGGAGCGTCTCAGCGGGGGCATGTAAGCAGGAGCCAGGAAGATTGAGATGTGGTCTGACAGTCCTAGGTGGGGGCGGGGTTCGGCTTTGTATGCATCTTTTACGTTCGTGTAAACACGGTCCAGCGTGTGGTCTCCACGTGTTGGAATCATCACATGCTGATTAAAGCTTGGGAGACAGTCCTTTAGATTCACGTGGTTAAAGTCTCTGGCTACAACGTAAAGAGCCTCGGGGTGTTTGTTCTGCAGCGAGCTGATGATATCATGAAGCTCCTGTAGTGATTCATTAGCATTAGCGTCCGGAGGAATGTAAACAACTGTGATAAAAGTCACTGTGAACTCTCGGGGTAGATAATGTGGCCGACATTTCACTGTTATTTGCTCCAAAGCCTTCGAGCATGAGCTATTTACAACAGTACAGTTGGTGGACCAACTCTTACTCACGTAAATGCATACTCCGCCCCCCCGTGATTTCCCCGTTAGCTCGCTGCAGCCGTCCGCTCGAAAAAAAAAGTCTGTCATCCAGCTGGAAGACTGAGTCCGGCGTTTCACTTGTAATCCACGTTTCCGTGAGGCAAAGCACTGC